CACAGGTCCTGTCAGGTTAACCCCTGTGTCCCCACAGGTCCTGTCAGGGGTTTCAGATCCTGTCACATTAACTCCCCAGGTCCTGTCAGATTAACCACTGTGTCCCCGCAGGTCCTGTCAGAGATTTCAGCCCCCAGGTCCTGTCAGGTTAAACCCCTGTGTCCCCGCAGGTCCTGTCAGGGGTTTCATTCCCCCAGGTCCTGTCAGGGGTTTCATTCCCCCAGGTCCTGTCAGGTTAAACCCCTGTGTCCCCGCAGGTCCTGTCAGATTAACCTGTGTGTCCCCACAGGTCCTGTCAGGGATTCCAGCCCCCCAGGTCCTGTCAGATTAAACCCTGTGTCCCCACAGGTCCTGTCAGGTTAACCCCTGTGTCCCCACAGGTCCTGTCAGGAATTTCAGCCCCCCAGGTCCTGTCAGGTTAACCACTGTGTCCCCACAGGTCCTGTCAGGAATTTCAGCCCCACAGGTCCTGTCAGGTTAACCACTGTGTCCCCACAGGTCCTGTCAGGAATTTCAGCCCCACAGGTCCTGTCAGATTAACCCGTGTGTCCCCACAGGTCCTGTCAGGGATTCCAGCCCCCCAGGTCCTGTCAGGTTAACCACTGTGTCCCCACAGGTCCTGTCAGGGGTTTCATTCCCCCAGGTCCTGTCAGGTTAACCCCTGTGTGCCCCCAGGTCCTGTCAGGGGTTTCATTCCCCCAGGTCCTGTCAGATTAACCGCTGTGTTCCCCCAGGTCCTGTCAGGGGTTTCATTCCCACAGGTCCTGTCAGATTAACCCGTGTGTCCCCACAGGTCCTGTCAGGGGTTTCAGCCCCCAGGTCCTGTCAGATTAACCGCTGTGTCCCCACAGGTCCTGTCAGGGGTTTCAGATCCTGTCACATTAACTCCCCAGGTCCTGTCAGATTAACCCGTGTGTCCCCGCAGGTCCTGTCAGGGGTTTCATTCCCCCAGGTCCTGTCAGATTAACCCCTGTGTCCCCACAGGTCCTGTCAGGTTAACCCCTGTGTCCCCACAGGTCCTGTCAGATTAACTGCTGTGTCCCCACAGGTCCTGTCAGGGATTTCAGCCCCCAGGTCCTGTCAGATTAACCCCTGTGTCCCCACAGGTGAGCTGGTGGCCCAGTTCAAGTTCACGGTGCTGCTGATGCCCAACGGCCCCATGAGGATCACGAGCGGCCCCTTCGAGCCCGAGCTCTACCGCTCCGACCTGGAGGTGCAGGACGGCGAGCTCAAGGTTGGTTAATTAGCATTAATTATTCATTATTAATTATTAATAAAATATTTCATTTTAATAATTTCCCAATAAATAAATATTAATTATTACTAGATAAAAATTCATTAACTTAATAGTCCATTAATAATAAATATTACTTACTAAGAATTAATAGTTAACTATTACTTATTGTGATTATTAATTAGTAATAAATTAGTTATTAAGTAGATAAAATAATTCATTATTAAAAATAAATATTAGAGAATTTTAAAATTAAGTATTAATGTGATTATACAAATTCATGATTATTAATAAATTAGTTATTGATTATCAATATATATAAATAAGTCATTATTTTAATAAACCATTATTAATAAACAACATGATTCATTTTATTTTACAAGAAAAATTTTAGAACATTCAAAAAATATTAAGTAGCGCCTTCCAAGGGTCACTTGTGGAACTTGGGGATTAAAAGGGACCCAAAATGAACCAAAAATTCCCGGTTTTCCCCCAAAATTCGGGATCTTTTTCCCATTTCCTCCCCTTTCTCTCCATTCCAGGCTCTCCTACAAAGCTCCGCCAGCCGCAAGACCCAGAAAAAGAAGAAAAAGAAGGTAAATCCCAAATTTTTTGGGGGAAATTCCTGGATTATTCGGGAATTTTTTCAGGGGAATTCCCAGATTTTTAGGGCACTTTTTTGGGGGAATTCACAGATTTTTCCGGGTGCTTTTTTGAGGGGAATTCGCAGATTTTTCAGGCACTTTTTTTTTGAGGAATCCCCCGATTTTCAGGGCGCTTTTTTTTTGGGAATTCACAGATTTTTTGGGCACTTTTAAAGGGAACTTTTAGTGAAAAAACCATTTTATTTTAATATTATTTGTCCCCACAGGCTTCCAAAAACGCCGAAAACGCCACCACGGGAGAGACGGCGGAGGAGAACGAGGCCGGCGACTGAGAACCCCAAAACCTCTCAAATTGTCCCCTTTTTCCCCCCCAAAAAAAAAAAAAATTGACAAAACCCCACAAAATCCAACAAAAATTCCATCCAGAAGCAAAATAATCCGGCGCCGTCGTCGCTTCGGGAATTCCTGGTGATTCCGAGCAGCTCCCATTGGAGGGAGGAAACTCTCAGCGACTTGGAAAAATGTCAAAAACCCCAAAAAAGTGGCAAAAAACCCCACAAAAAATTAGGATGAAAGTCGCTGTTAAATCTGAAAAGTTTTTTTTTTTATATTTCCCACTTTTTGGAGAGTTGAATCCATCCTGGATTGCAGGGAGAGGGAGGGGAGGGAGCTGCTGATTCCTTCCTCCTCCTCTTCCTCTTCCCTTTTTTTTTATTTTTTAATTTTTTTCCCTTTTTTTTGAAATTTTCACACTGAAAAAAACCACCCAAAAAACCCAAATGATTCCACCCAAAAAAACGCCCCCCCAAGACAAAATTTTTTTGTCTTTTCTCTCTGGGATAATACTTCTAAAATTGGGAAAAAAAAAGCAAATTTTAGGATTTTCTCCTCACAGACCTCGGGAGCTTTTTTCCTGCCTTTGATTTAAGGGATTTCCAAAAAAAAAAAAAGAAAAATAAACAAAAAATTGCTATTTTTTAATGCGAGTTTTTAAAATTAATCCCAAAACCCCCCTGCGGAGCAGAATTCCCAAAATTTTTGGGGGGCACGGGGGGTTTTTTTTTAAAAATCCGATGTCCCCGGGAGCATATTCCACCTTTCCCGCGAGCCGGAGGATCGTTAATTTTATTTTTTTTCACTTTTTCCCTCTGGATTCTTTAAAAATTTTTGGGGAAAACTCGAGAGTTTTGGGAAAGCCCCAAATTTTTGGGAAAAAAACCCAGATTTTTTTGGAGAGAAACCCAAATTTTTGGGGATAAGACCAGATTTTTGGGGAAAAAAACCCAGATTTTTTGGGGAGAAACCCAAATTTTTGGGGATAAGACGAGTTTTTTGGGGGAAAAAAAACATATTTTGGGAGAAACCCAAATTTTTGGGGAAGAAACCCAAGATTCTTGAGGAAAAACCCAGACTTTTTGGGGAAAACTCAAAATTTCTGGGGAAGAACCCAGATTTTTGGGGGAAAAACCCGAATTTTTTGGGGAAGAAACCCCAAATTTCTGGGGGAAACCCCAAATTTTTGAGGAAAACCGCAAATTTTTTGGGAAAAACCCGAATTTTTTAGGCAAACCCCAAAATTTTTTAGGGAAAAACCACCAGAATTCCTGAGGGGAAATGTGAGGGAAGCGCTGCCGGAGCCGTCGGATCCGGGATAAGGCCCCGATCCCGGGGGTATCGCTCTTTTATAGTCACTTTTTTACAAAAAAAACATGTAAAAAAAAGAAAAAAAAGCCGAAAAAACGCCGTGAGTTGAATGTCGAGGTTTTTTTTTCCTTTTGTCGATACCCCCCCGGGTTTTTTTTCCAACCCCCCCCTGGAATTTGGGAATTCTCACCATTTTTTTTTGTTTTTTTCCCGATGTTTTCCCGGGCGTCCTCCGCAGGTGCTTCCTGGTCAAGATCTGAGTTTTCCGCCCCAAAAAAAAAAAAAAAAAAAAAAAAAAATTAAAAAAAAAAATAAAAACTCCACGCGTGCAGATGTTACCAAAGTCAAATAAAAGAAGAATAAACGATGCGATGTTGGATTTTATTTATTTTGTTATTTTTTTATTTATCTTTATTTTTTTAAATTTAATTTAATTTTATTTATCTTTACTCAATTTATTATTTTTGTATTTTAGATTTTCTTTAAAATTTATCTTTATATATATATATATATAATATAAATGTATATAAATGTAGAGTATATAATTTTTTTATTATTTATCTTTTTATATTTATTTGCTTATTTTATTATTTATTTCTATATTTAATTTCTTCCCTCTCCTCATTGGTCTCTCTTGATTCTTCAGATTTGGGATTTTTTGGGCAGTTCCCCTCCTGGGCGAGCTTGGGGTTGGAAATTTTGGGGGAGAAAATGTGAATTTTGAGGGGAAAAAACTCATTTTGAAGGGAGGAAAGTCCCCTTGAAGGGAAAAAATATTGTTTTGAGAGGAAAAAAACTAATTTTAAGGGAAAAAAAAGCTGTCATTTTGAGGGGAAAAACCTTAATTTTGAGGGGTTAAACCTCATTTGGAGGAGAAAATCGTCAACTTGAGAGGAGCACCCATCATTTTGAAGGGAAAGAATAATTTTGAGGGAAAACTTACGAATTTTGAGGGGAAAACCCACTTATTTTGAGGGAAAAAAAGCTAATTTTAAGGGGAAAACCCTCATCTTGTGGAAAAAAAACCTTATTTTGAGGGGGAAAAAGTCATTTGAGGGCCCCCCCTCTCATTTTAATGGGAAAACACATATTTTGAGGGAAAAAATTAATCCTGAGGGATAAAAGCCCTCCTTTTGAGGAAAAACCATCTAATTTTGAGGGAAAGTTAATAATTTTGAGGGAAAAAAACTCGTTTTTAGGTAAACCCCCTCATTTTGGGGGAGAAAAATCTCATTCTGAGGGAAAAGAGCCCCTCTTTTAAGGAAAAAACCCCTAATTTTGGCCTTTTTAAGCATTGCTCCACCGGGATACGGGAGCCGAATGCTTTCCCCGCCTCCAGCAGGGATTTATAAACGTTTAAATTAATATAATTTCTTATTTTGTATCTTTTACTCTGAGAATATAAAAACATTGTATACTTTTACCTTAAAGGAAAGCCCCCGTAGGGATTTTGGGGTGCATCGACAATCCCGTTAAAGCCTTGGATGAGCGGAAACTCCCAAAAAAAAAAAAAAAA